AAAAAAGGATAACGTTCTTTAATATGGCAAAGTGCACAATGGCTATCTAACCTAAGTGAAGAGATGCTTTCGTGCGAGATTGTTTAAGAGAGAGTAACTCGTAATTACGTTAAAACTGGGGAAAACCACAAAACTATCCATGCACCAAGTACGTTTGTAGAGTCTGTGTCTTTTGGGGAAGTAGCGAATTGTCCCTATGTCTTGAGGAAAACAGATGACTGCCGGCGAAGGTTCAAACAATCTTTTAATTTTAACTAAACAGAACATGCACTCACTCGGGGCTCATAATTTAACCACCACTTGTGTGTAAGTAAAAATATTATCTACAATCACAATAAATTAAATTTTTAGTTGCACTTACAAATAAATTAAATTTTGGCTTCTACCTCGCAGTCTAAATCTGCTTTATCGGCTGCGCTCAGCAAAGCAAATGTATTTTTTGATAAAAAATTTGACTTCGCATTGGTTATATATCGCAAAGCAGAAAAGTAAATATAAAATGTTAATTTCTATATTTTTTTCACTCATAAATCTGTAAAATATTATTACATTTTTAATGTATCTGCATTTAAGTACGTTTCATATTTAACTACAAATTTTGAATAAATGCTCACATGATGCAAAGTGAAGACAAAATTAACACATAAAGGAAACAGTTTTACTCTGGAGTTTGTGAACTTTAGGTCACTCATCTTAAATCTTATCACGTTACCATAAATTTGCTGGATTCTTTGATAATCGGAAGAATTCAAAACTTTAAATTCCAATTTCTTATATTTCTGGAAAATGAAAAATACACTGCTTTTATGATCACCTATAACTGTGCTAAAGTCACTAAGTCATTATGTCATTACAGTTTCTAACAGTAACTTGTGGTGCTGTCCAGTAATAAATCTTAAGTTTTTAGCTTCTTATGAAAATTATGAAACTACTAAGCAGTTGATTTCAAAGTAATAGTAGCGAGTCTTAATTTCTGAAAAGCGAATTGACCGACTGTAATCTTTAAAAAATTTAGTGTGTAATTCTAAATATATTTGTATAAGGAAAAATAACTGAAATATTTATTAATATCTAGTAAATTATTATTAAAGTTGGTCACATTAGTATTGCGCAAGGGTTTTACGGTCGGAGGCGTTGCAAATGCTGTCAAGAAAGGGAGACTGACGTTAATTAATTACGAAGAGGAAAATAAACAGTTAAGTTAGAGATCATAAGGGAAAATATATATTAAAAGATAATTGTTTTAAGGTCTCATTCAGTATCAGTATATCAGGAATAAAAACTTGAATGGAGCTATAGAGCTCTCCTCTGTTCTTCACTGCAAGTCAGTAATGTATACAAGGATGTACACATGGTACCAGAATGGAGAAAAATTATACAGGACGCGAAAATTTTTAAAGTGTTCTTTTATGTATTATTTATTTTTATTTAGTAATATTATTATGCCCTTTTTTAGATTATTAATAGCATATGTCTTCTTATAATTACAAATTAAATTATATTCATCAAATGAATTTAATGATCATATTTATTTGTTTATTAACATTTCCTTATTACGTTATTTTCGTCTAGGAATTTCTTCCCCCCCCCGAGCAATACATACATGTAAGTCACGAGGCTGAAAGGTAGTGCTATAAATAAATAATCTGATCCAATTCCAGCTGAACAGCACTCATTAACACTAATTGTTTACGGAAAGTATCCTAGTTTTTGAAAAGCTTCGTATCATTTAACATGAAATTAATTACTTAATCATCTTAAGAATGATTCTGTGAGCTTATTTAATTAGATATTGCAAAGCATATGAGGGTTGGCTAGGCTTGGTTTCATGGAGAATTTTCTAGGGAAAATGGGCTCATATTTGCATTACCTTAAAGAAATCCGCGAAAATGCTTACACACAGTGGTAGGCTGTAGGAGGGCTCGTTCAATTCATTAGATTAAAACCAAAATTAGAACAAATTTTATTTAGATGTCTATATGCATCTAAATATTTGCTTTATTAATAAAGCATTTAACAATAAACTTGTAACCAAATGATCGTGAAGTTTTTCAAGGTTCTTTCCGTTTGTATAGTAAATGTTTATGAGAGTATGTATATGAGAGTTTTTCTTAGAAAATCCTTTGTGAATACTATTCGAGGTAGATATCTATCTCATGCTTCACTATAAACAATTATTTAGAGCAATGTAATCACGCTTAAGCCGCAATGAAATAGGATATTTTTTTTTCCTTTTTTAAGTAAGCAAAAATTCAAATTGCAGTATTCAGAGACTTTCATTCAAATTGTGAGCACTGACTTGGCAGATTATGATGATGACAGCATAGCTATAAAGACTATAATATTTTTTTTTAATAATTATAGCAGTGAGTAGCATAAAAACAAGTGATCAACACATTTTCTATTTTCTGTGTAACCTTTATAAAAGCCAGCAGTATAAAAGCAACATTGTATTGTTGAATTCTATTGCTGAAAATTATATTGTTGAATATTATTAAAGAGTTATCGTATCCCCATGTCTAATTTTATAGTGCAAGTGCTCAGCACATCTAGTCAGCAAATTATTCCCATTCTGCTCCGTGACTCAGTTTTCATCTTTCTTGATATTAAAGTTCTGAGTTTCTACAGATACAGGAACAGACTGAAGCAAAGCCGGTCCCTGTGCAGTCCCGAAGACACATTAAGTATCGCTGACAAGCTCCGCCCCACCAAACACTGGCATGAACTTACAGTGCGCCATGTATTTTCATATTTTGAGTAGTCCATTGTCTCACAGATACTATACACTTACAAATATATATGCTTTCTACTGGATTCCAACCTGGGTCCATCAGTGCGGCAGGCATTGTCATTAACCATAAGATCTAGATCATACTTATTCAGAAATGATCCATATTATTATAGCCTATGCAAAAAGCTTTCTGACAATGATTAAAAATTTAATCCAAAATGCACCTAATCATATTATATGAACATTTGGGCTATGATTAGCAAAATTAAATATATATTCTGAAACTGTATTGTAAATACTGTTAACAGACAGTAAATTTGAACTGTAAATGTTGGTCTCTAAATACTTGCTCAAATGTAATGAAATTTGGCCAGTATATGTAGGGCTATAAATGGACTGTAAATTTGGACTTTACATAGACAGTAAATGGAATGAAAATACTTTTTTCAGATATACTTATTCAGACTTCATTCATCAGAATTAAGGACTATAAACCTGCACTGAAAATGACTGTAAAATAAGGTATGTAAAAGGAAAATAAGAGCAACAACATTCATATCTGTATCACTAATATTGATTTCAATGTAACTTTTCTGTGTATGTAAGAAGAGAATTAAAACATAGTACAAATGTGAAAAGATGTATTCTCAGATATTAAAACTCTGTAACAAAAACTTTTGATTATGAGAAAAAAATGCCCATCTGTTTTGCTTATTAGGCCAATATGGCTGAGGTGAGCAGACAGCCATATAGGCCTGATTTTTTTTTTTTGGGGGGGGATAATATAACACAAAAGAATCTGAATTGGGAAAATTTCTCCCGTTCATATTCTTTGATTACACTGCTTGCTTGGTATAAAACCTTAGGTCATCTAGATCGGTGGTCCGTCATTTAACCACTGTATCTGCTGGGTGGCCGAAAGTCTTAACAATGGTGCCCGAATTAGAATTAAGAGATGATAACTCATTACATTCTGCGTTTGGTCGACCCGGTTTCGTGCCTCTTTGTAATCAACTTTTAAGTTGGGAGAATATAATGAATTATCGCATGTTATCTGGTGTAAGTAGTTAATACGTCCAGTTAGCAAGACCGTCCCTCGATTTCCGACGAGGGCGCAATGGATTTTGAGTGTTTCTCGCCTTCTAAAAATTCTAAGAGTATCTTAAACATAATAAGTCGCATTTTTTAAAACTAAAATTCTACAAAAAATTCAGAATATTTGATTAAAAAACTTAATACATATTAAAATTATCATAAGCTTTTTGTTTATGGACGAATGGATTCTAAAATCCGTCTTTATATTTCCTAACTTACTTCAGTTTAAACACAAGTAAAAAAAAAAATTACGAATGAGACATTAATCACAGTTTCAGTAACAAATTATATAATCTGAAACAGGAAAGTTAATTTTTAAAAAAATCGGAAAGCTTTCAAATTTTACACTACGCCCAAAGGAACTTTTTTTAGAATTTTGTGTGTTACCGTCTAGACACATTAGGTATTTTTTGGAAGCAAGAAAGTTGAAAAATTAGTAATCGCCTTCGCCGGGAAACGAACCACGGACCTCTGAAATACCGGCTCAGTGTGCTGACCACTACACCACGAAGGCACGCTAGGAAGGCGGGAGAAATACCTTATAACCTTTATTTATTAAATGTTCTTTGCACTTAAACCATAAAATTCAATTCAACAGCAATATCGCAAAATAATTTTAAAATGATCATATCTTTAGAATTTCCGATACACACTCTCGCGCGTTGGAGACAGAAATATATTCCCCCCCCCGTACAGTGTTTCCATTGCTCGCTTTGAAATCGTTGAGTTTGTTAATCAAAAATTCGTTGAAGTGTTACGAAATATGAAATCGATAATAAAACAAATATCAAACTCCAAATTAGGGCTTCCAGATGCCCATATTCGGTGGAAGATTATGTTATTCAAAATTTGATGGCTCTAGGTGCCGTTATTTTATCACCATGCGAGAAACTTACATACATTTATGCAGATTCTTCATTATATAATTTCTTTAAATATAACAAAGGGTGATAATATTTGAAAAGTGAACCGACATTTAACGTTTTCAACGCAAAATGTCAAAACGAAATTAATAGCCCTTCAGGGCTAACGCCTTTTGGGCTAAAAACTGCAACGTTTTTCGTTTAAAAATTCTTAGGATACCATTTGATTTATAGACTGAAAGCATTCTAATCTAATCTTGCATTAATAGAAAGAAAATAGAGATAAAAGTTATAAAAACACCGTTAATAACCTCTATCCTTCATTTATATGTCCACTTCGTGATCTTCAGACATTTACAATGGTCGTTGACATGGGACTTTGTCGCATTTCATCTTGATTTTTCATTATCAGGTACCTACATCCATGATCCCTCTCCTCTGCCTTGATTTCATATTCCGTAAATGATTTCCTACCTGAAAATTAACTATTGTCTCAATACATTCGCTGCTCTTGATAACTTGTCTTTTATGGGCATTACACCAACCATTGTCCGTAATCTTTGTTCGTAATAAAAAAGCAATAATGAATTCTCCTATGACAAAGAGCAATAAATGAAATTGCTTCTTTAATCATTAATTGGCTATTCTTGATATATGTAGCGCATAAACTGAGGCATGGCACACGTTGATAAAGGGACCTGTAAAGCTGTCAGCGGTACAAAACACAGCCAGCAGATGGTAATAAATTTCCATTCTGGTTGTGCTTTTATCTCCAACAAGGTCGAGCATCTCACGGTTACCGTGAGACGTATATTTCGCTGACCCACATAGAAGCACTCGGTGTTGGTAACCTATTTACCAGCCAGGATCGTCTGCAGATAGGTAAAATGGGTATTATGGAGATTGTATTAAAATGGAGAGGGGGGTAGAAAAGTGCCTTGGAGGTAGTAACTGAGAGATTCTGCGTTTCATTTGCAAGTTAGATATCGATAACTATCTCTTCGGTATTGTTCTTCGTGAAGTTAGGTTCATGGTCAGGATATGATGTGATGAGGGCATGACGTAGTCTAACCATACCCGTATCAGTAACGCTTAATCTCGTTATTTTTATGTAATTTAGTACATTTTGATGAAAAGATTTACTCGGAGAGCACAGAAATTTTAAATTAGTGAAAGTGGGCAAGTATTTGTTTAGAACATATAAATTTATGATTGTTGTTGTGATAAAGTGAATGAAAGATTAATGGTATGGGAGTATGAGATATACAGAAGGTCGTTCACACAGAAGGAAACGATTTTCTATTTAAATTTTCTCGTTAGCATTTTGAGATTAAAATTTGATATTTTTAATACAGGGTTACCATAAATGATTCATTCATTTTAGAAAGGCTATATTTTTAAAAGTATTACGGGTACGCACATGAAAATTATATGTAAAGGATCACAAACTCCTTGAGTTTTTTTCACTATTTTACCGAGTTTTCTGGATAAGTGAAACATTGTTTCATCGCTGAATATCATCTAGGGTGGCGAAATGTACGTCATCCAATGTTGACGCAAAAATCTAATCGACGGTCGTAATCCTTCGGCTTTAATTGGTGCAGGAGCTACACATGGTACGGTTTGAAATGCAACCGTTGACGCGAAAGCTTCCAGTTTTTGTGGTATTCCAAACATCTGGTCAATCGACAGGACGAACATCTGGACAACAATGTTACAAAGTGTACGGAATGAGGTCGATTATCGTCTAGACGTGTGTCGTGTCACCAAAGGGACGCATGCTGAATATTTGTAGAGGGTGTATAAACTTGGTGAGTTTGTGGTTCGTTTCATGTATCTTTCATGTGTGTACGTAAAATACTTTTGAAAATATAGCCTTTTTAAAAGGAATGAATCATTTATGCCAACCCTGTATAATGGTGTGCTATTGCTTTCATTTGATTGGAATGCAGAATAATTTTGCAGAAATTGCGAATGGAATGCAGAAAGATTTATTTGGAAATGGCTATTAAAACTTTAAGATGGCTCGAAGGTTACGTAAATGCAGTTTGCGAAGAAAGATATTCTTATCAGGAAATGGTAAAGCGGTGCAAAAATCGAGGTTATATATAAAAATTATAAAAATGTATTTTCTGATATCTTGAGTTAGAAAGCAGGCAAGTTTCTAGCGGAAAGTAAAAATTAAAAAAATGATTGCAAAATCGCATGCTAATATTCTTCGAACGCCGGTAAATATCAAGAAAGTTACGCTTAAAAATTAATTATTAAAATCGTTTCCATGAAATGCGAACTTACCTTCTGTAAAAACTACAAAACCTGCTGGAAAGCATTTTGCTTCGTCTGTTTTTTGTTTCTTAGTACATTTCAGCTTACTTGAAATCACAAAATCAACTGAATGTTTGTGAGTCCGGTGCTTCGACAACGATATCCTCGACAACGATATGGAAAGTAAAGAGCATAAAATAAGAATTACATAAAAAATAAGAAAGCAGTTATCAGTAAATTACACAGTTCGGTCAATTGCTATTTTTAATTGAACAGAAAATGTGTTCCAATCTATTCTCTATCAAGTGAAATACGAACTTATTCGAACTTTTGTACTAACAAATTTCAGTTATTAAAGTACATATTTTAACTTTGGTTAAAATGTAAGTTCTAGACACCTTATTAAAATACCTGTATATTCATTTGGCTCTTACTGAAAGCAAAAAAGACTATTAGCAGCGGTGTTTAGTACTTTATATAAAAGCTTACTGTATAAAAACCTTTTTTTTTTAATTGCATTTCATCTTCTGTTTTATAGTCTCAATTACACGTTATTAATGATAAAATTTTTAATCATTACAATTCCTTCTTTAATGAATTAATATGCAAATTCTAGAAGGCCTTATTAAAATACTTTATATTCATTTGGTTCTTACTGAAAACAAAAAAGAGTATTAGTGACGATGTTTAATCCCTAAGCGAACTTGGTACTCAGTTTTCAACGACTTGGTACAATTTATAACGATTTAATTATAGCATATATAACTAACATAATCGTAACATATGATTTTAATGATTTCCAACGATTCATTCTTGAAAGAATATATAAATATTTTGTTGAATTCATTCTTTATTCTTTTAACAATGGATTCTGACGAATGAAATTTCTAACGATTAAATCGTTCTATATATAACTAACAGAATCGTGGCATATATAGCTTACATATGGTATATGTAACGTAAATAGAATTACCAAACCCACTGTAAAATTAAGAATCATTCACGACATTTTATATAAAAGTTTGAATAATTAGTAAAATTCTCAGCAATCTATTGAATTGCATAACCTTAAATGAAACGTAATGAGAAACTCTGAAATTTATGTTATAGAAGAACTGCGAGAGTAAGAATATACTTCTTTGAAAACTCAGAAATGATTGATCATTAGTGTCATCCTAAGTTCATGACCAGTGATCCGTTTCAATTCGATGTCCCAAATCCGACTGATTCATGCAACAAAAATATTTTAAAACACTTTGAAGGCATCGGCAGGTGCTTATCGTCAGATTTTATCTTCTGCAAGCATGAGCAAAGCGAGAAATATGGCAATCGATATGGAATGAGGTGATGTCAAACTGTTTGACCCGACTTCTAATAATTTTCCATTTGTAATGGTCTAATGGAAGACCTCTTGACCGAGACATTGTGATCATTCGGCCGCTGCTGTCATCTGCAGCGTCTCTTACTACAATCCGTTTCTTAACTTTGGCGTGCAATAGAAAAATGAGAAGTTAAGCTATAGATTAAGAAATTTCCATTAAGTGAAAACAGCTTGTGAGTTTCAAATATCTGAGTATCTGGTTTTAGAGTATATCTAAAACGAGAAAGGACTTTAAAAGTTTATTTATTATCTGTCAGTAAAGAAAGAAGACATTTACTGCCTTATGCATGGGTTACGAATTTTGGTTATATATGAATAACTTTAGCAATTATGTATTATAGTAATTATGTAAATTATAGTATCTCTCATATAATGTAACATGAAAGGCCTCAACAACGCGAAGCTTTGTCGGAAAGATAAGGTTACAGTAGCAAGTCCATTAAACGTTGGCGAGCTATAATCTGGCGATGGTTTTAGAAACTAATTATTGTCTCCAAATTTGGCTAGAAATCGCCAAATGTTGCCAAACTTGGCAACAATTTGGTCTGAACCCTATAATACTGTAATTGGTCCGATTTTTATGTAACTGTAATTGTATCTGGCCCTACGTAACTGTAACTGTATCTGGCCCTATGTAACTGTAACTGTTATATGCCTTCCAGCAATTTCGAGAAATCGAAGTTACTGGAAATTTCTCGGCGGACGGGGAAAAATTATGTAAGACCAGAGACAGAGTCAGTTCTGGGTTTAGTTCAGGATTTAGTTCAGAGTATTGAGAGATCACAGTGCTTTTTTATATTGTTTTGTGTTTAGCATTCTCAGTAATTTGAAGTGGTTACTACTGACTGTGCTCTGTCATACTGAGAAAAGTTGTACGAATACTTTTGTGAAAAGTTCCAGAAACTGTAAAGTGTTTCTTTGGGGAAAATAAGTTTTATCAAGCCATCATCGGTTCTGTCTACATTCAATCCTTTACGACGAACCCATGCTCGCGTAACACATGGTTTGACTATCAAAAGAAATTTCTTCCTAAACTGTTACGGCTTTTAACTTTCCTTATGCAGAAAAATAATTTTCTTATGAACCTTAAATTTCTCCATCATTTTAAGAATTTTCTGGCTATTGAACTGTAAAAAGGTAATAACTATCTTTGCTTTTGGTATCTTCCTTTTTTTCAAAAGGACAATTCTTAAATTCCCCTTTTATCTGTTTCAGAAGATCTGTCGTAACTTATAATACATATCATCATCTTGTTATAAACAAATACTTGACCGACAAATTTATTCTTCGGTGAATTAGTGTCAACTCCCAATTAACAGGATCAGGATTAACCGAGTTGTGATTAAAAGGAGTTACCTTATTGGGGGGGGACTAAGTTTGTTTATTTTGGAACGAGAAGAAAGTTAATATCAAAAACTATTCAACAAAATGTCTGTGGAAAATAAAAAAGGAAAAGAAAATGCACTGGGGGAACAGCATTGATAGCAGATAATGTCAGAGAGTTTGGCAGTTATTTAAATTCCACAACAGTGCGCAATAATGGTACGTGATCCGATAACATTGCTAAACCACTGGCTAAAAGTAAATGGTTCAGTCGTAAAAGTACTATATATCTCCGCGTATTTCCCCCCTAACTTTTTAATGTCAGGTTCTGAAAATTAAAAAAAAATATATATATATAGCTGTGTAATTTTCCCCTTCCTCAATGTATTCAGAGAACGAGCTCCTTTAAATTTTCAAATGGAATCGAAAACTACTTTCGAAGGTTATCCCG